TCTGTTAAGTTTCTCAGGATCCACATAAGAGTGAAAACATATGGTATCTGTCTTTCTCTGTATGACTTATTTCACTTGGCATAACACTCTCCCGTTCCATCCACATTGCTACAAAAGGCCATATTTCATTCTTTCTCATTGCCATGTAGTATTCCATTGTATATATAAACCACAATGTTTTTATCCATTAATCAGTTGATGGACATTTAGGTTCTTTCCACAATTTGGCTATTGTTGAAAGTGCTGCTATAAACATTAGGGTACAAGGGCCCCTATGCATCAGCACTCCTGTATCCCTTGGGTAAATCCCTAGCAGTGCAATTTCTGGGTCATAGGGTAGATCTGAGAATAGGATTCTTAGAGTACAAAAAATGTGAAAGACATTTAGATAAATATAATCACTGTCTCTCAAAGGTTTTCTTACTTACTCCTTCTCCTTCCAGTTAGGCTTTGTGTCTACTTTGTACTCCTCATGCCCTTATATACCAGCACTTTTAAGACTTCACTGCACTGTTGCATTTACACATCGTTTTTTCTACAACTAATCTATAATTTCCTTACAGGTAGGAGCACTGTCATATATATCCTTTATCTCTAACTCCCAACACAGGACCTGGGCCACTCAGTATTCCATAAAAGATTGAATTGATGGTAGCAACTCTAGAGTATAGTTCTGAAAACTGATTTATAACTGTCAACATTATGTCTGATTTAGTTGGTATATGTTACACCAAATGACTTGTGTGCTGTCTAGGACCCAGCTTTATTATTATTATTGTTATTCTCAATTCTTTAGAAATAAGTATAGAGGGCCATCTCGGTGGCTCAGTGGGTTCAGCATTCGACATTGGCTCAGGTCGTGATCTCGCAGTTCGTGAGTTTGAGCCACCATCAGGCTCTGTGCTGACAGCTCAGAGCCTGGAGCCTGCTTTGGATTCTGTGTCTCCCTCTCTCTCTGCTCCTCTCCCACTCGTGCCCTATCTCTCTCTCTCTCTAAAAAGTAAACATTAAAAAAAAAGATTTAGAGATAAGTATGCATATTCATAGGTGAGTCAGTATTGCAAATGCTATCAATGCACAGACTTTTTCATTGGTAAATGCTATATTCCTATATCTAAGAAATAAACAAGTAGACCATCTTATATAATTTTCCACCCTCCTTTTCTCTTCCCTACCCTACCCAGTATTCAGTTGGCTGCTATCTCCAGGCTTCCACATTAGTGCCTCACTTCTTCTTGGCTCTGGCCTGACACATAAAATGACACTACAACATTACTTTTCTGAGACACTATGCAAATGGATTCATTTTTCTTTTTGTCTCAACTTCTCATTTTCAGAGTGTGTTTCTTGTTAGTGTCCATATTAAGTGTGCAAATAGGTACATACATATTTTTTAATTCTTCAAGAAAAAAAGTATAAATCTGAGAGGTTTTTTTTTTAAGGTTCCACATCTTTTAAAAATTTT